CACCTAGGTGCCCGGGCACAGTTCAGAGCCTATAAATAGATCTGGATGGCTCATTTTTCAGGGGTTGGAACTTTTGGAGCCGAACTCTGCCGGATTGAGAGCTCACCTTCGGACTTTCAAACTTAGAAGACTCGGACTTCCAGATCTGGTTCTTAGCGATCGTCCACGCCAAATAAGGCAGGAGTTCGAGAGAGATCAGATCTGAGATCTGCACGGTTTCCCTCCGGATCAAAGCTTGGCCTTTGATCCCGAGCAATAAAGGCTATTATTTCCTTGGTGAAATAGTACCCCCGGATGTTATTTCCTTCGTAAAATAACACCCGTTATACCGTGTAGATCCGACCGGATCTAGATCGCGTGGTGGTCCACGAATTAACCCCGGTGCAGGCAAAGAACCCACAAAAGTGAGTGACCGCAAAACAGGAGCTCACGATTCGTTCGACATAAAAGGAAAGTTGTAATTTTTATTTCTTTTTTTTTATTTTGTTGTAACCGGATCTTATAAAAAGACCGGATCTTTTGTAATCGATAAACAATTACTTGAGAGTACAATGACTTCAATGAAGAAAACAATTTTTCCCGTGAACAATCTGGCGACCACAGTGGGAGCCACCGATCTCGCTGCCGAGATCGATGCGTCGCAGCCGCGGATCTCGATCCCGGTCGAGGAGGAGGTCGAGTATGAATTCGACCAGCAAAAGTTCGAGGAGTATCTGTCATCCTCGTCCGGATCTACCTCTCCCCGCAAGTCCAAAAAGTTCTCCTCCAGGAGGAAAGTTTGTTGGTATGAAGAAGTGGAAAATACCAACGAAGAGCTCAACCCAATTGATGCTGAAGTTGCATCGGGTAAAGTTCCACCGACCTCCAACCAGGTCAAACCTGTTCTCAACAATTTCTCTATCGCTGAGGGCGTAGCAACTCTCTCAAAGAGAGCCCGCCAGAGGCAACGTCAATGCCTGGCGCGGCAATTCGCAAAGGCGATGGAGTCTACGGACGGAATCCGCTATAGCACGGATCTGAAGAACAGGAGAGGCAAACAGCCTCAACAAATGATGAATGGCAGCTCCTCCATGAGCGCATTCACAAGCACCGCACACTTTTAGCGCAGGCTCGGGCTCAAGTCCAAGAAGCCCGTAGAAGACTACAGAAGAAAAGGCCAAAGAAGCCGCCACCAACCCGCCAAGTATGGAGGCCGAAGTCTGAAGCGGCGATTCAGGCTAAGGCACAATCGGTACAGCCTTCGAAGCAAGTTCAACCTCCAGCGAACCGACCAAAGTCGCCGATAATTCCAGTAGCTACTCCGGGAGATCCCGCGGAATTATCCCGAAGAAGGAGATCAGTCTTGGAGCGCCTCGGTCCAATTCCCGATGAAGGAGGCAAAGCTCCAGTTCAAGAGCGTTTGGGCCCGAAGAAGAAGCCCCGAACGACTCAACATGCTGGGGGTCGCCGCCACCTTCAACATGACAAGGAGTTCAAGGCAATTGCACGCACCAATTTGCGCATCAAAGTCCAGGAGCTTGCTGAGAACTCACGCCGAAAAAGGCATGTCTCGAGGCGCGTGACTCTTGACAGCCCAAAGAAGGCAGTTCGCCCTCAGAAGGAAACATTATCGTCTGATGACGATAACGTTATACCTGAGAAATCATGCCAACACACGATAGGTTACTCTGACTTTCAAACCGACGAGTTGTACTATCGTGTCGATGGTACGAGGAAAACTAGGAAGAGGAGTCCTCGAGGACTAGAAACTCAATGCCCCTGTTCCAAACTCATTCGGGCGGTATTGTCTAGGTACAGTTGCATCAAGACGGTCCCCGAAAGGGTTTCGGTTTTCGAAAGACTCAGTACCGAAACGTAAAACTAAGGCATAGGCGTTTCCGACAAAGAAGAACGGTGGTTGAAGACGGAGAATTTCTGAGGGTCACCACTAATATGACCAGCAAGGGGACATCGACACAGAATAATCTCGAGTCGATTCTGAAAGCACCCCGGCGTCTAACCCGTCTGCAATCTGGAGCCATCAAACGAGCAACTTATGGTAGGGTTCGGACAAAGATACCTTCAGAAGATGAAGAATCGGATGCCGGCTCTGCGGTTGCATCAGATAACACGGTATCCAGCGAGGGGCAACCCCGCGAGGCACTTATGATAAGTGCGGAACAAGTGGTCAAGATGCTTGAAGACGCCATGGCTAAACAACAGGAGAGCTTCAGGTTCGAAATGCAGATGGCCATGCAGAACATGAGAGAGATGCATGACCAACAGATCCAAGCACTGACAAATCAGCAAGGCGGACCAAGTCGTCGTGACCAGGTTAATCAGGAAGATGAGAACACGAATGCGAATGAAGTTCACAATACCACTAATCCTCCCGTCAATGCAGGGGGTGGTAACGAGAATGCTAGTGAAAACATAGGTGAAAGCTTGAAAATCAAAAACCTCGAGAGCAAAATCAATACGTTGATTTCCGCTCAAGAGATGAAGAAGACATGCATTCCTTGTCCATACCCAAGAGAATGGGAATCAATCCCATATCCGGCGAAGTTCAATCTAATTAACTTCACGCTGTTTAACAGGATGGGTTCACCCACTCAGCATTTGATTTACTTCAAATTGCACCTAGGGGTTATCTCTGGCAATGAGCCTCTGATGGTACGGTCCTTCGTTGGCACTCTTTGTGGAGCCGCCTTCGATTGGTATTGCCGCCTCAAGCCAAGAAGCGTGAATAGCTGGGACGATATGGAGACTAAATTCCTCGCTAACTTCTTCGATGATGACACCGAGATATCCATCGGGTCATTGCTCGACGAGAAACAAAAAGACGGGGAATTGGTTGATACCTTCGTCAAAAGGTTCTGGAACAAGGTAATGAATTATCGACCCGATCACTGAGGAGTTCATCCTCCAGACTTGCCACAACAACCTCGCATTGGACGTGTTAGAAGCAATGGGAACAGCACCGTCCAAGACATGGAAGGACTTGAAGGTCCGCGGGGAGCAAGCCGAGCAAGCGGAAAGAGGCCAACAGGCGACGAATACTCCACAGCAGAACTTCGTCCCACGAGGGAAAGGTAAGACACATGCTAATGCAGCTATTGGAGAATAATAAAATCCAGCTGCCAGCGATTGTGGATCAAGAGGGGGCTGGCAAAGTGACGGATCCGAAGTATTGCGCATACCATAGAGCGGTCCATCATCCTACGAAGTCATGCTTCCATCTCAATGATAAGATCCAGGCGTTAATTGATGTAGACGTCATAACCCCGAAGCCGTCCAAGAATGTCGGAGCGAACGCAATGTTAATCAGCTTTGGATCAGTACCTACAGCGTGGTTTGAATCAAAACGCATCACCAAGGTGGGAATGAAGATGATAAACGACGACCCATACGGACAGCACCAGAAAGGACTTGTGCCACACACAGCCCCAAACAGCGAAATCCTCTGGGTTCATCCCGATTTAATCGAAGACGATCAGTGGACGACTTCCTCGACCAAAAAGGGTAAAGGCAAGTCCTGCAATGCTACCTCCGTGATCTTTGAAGAGGATGGTAATGAAGCTCCTACCTTCCCGCTCTCCGAAGAAGAACAAGAAGTCTTTGCCACCAGAAGCGAAAATGAGTATCACTTCAACTATCCATCACCTAGTGATCAGTTAGCTGAGCAGGGGGTGACTAAACGGGGACCAGCCAAAACTCTCATGGAGCTGGGTGTGATTGTGAATCCTAGACCGGTTGAAGAAGCTCGACAACAACCGGTTAATAAACAGAATGAAAAGAAGCCCCAGGAGGTTCAAAATCTGAAGCAGCCTCGTTTCAGTCGTCCGATTGGAAGAGGTAAATCGGAAAGCTCGAACACTCCTCACGTCTTCGATATCATGGCTCAACTAGCTAACATCCTAGCACGGATAACATTGTATGAGTTGCTACGGTTGTCTAAAGAAACAAGGGAAGCCTTGCAAGAAGCTCTGGCCAATTCAGAAGTGTTCCTTACTCAGGTCAAGCCGGCACTTGAAGGACCAGAACCGTTGATTCAACATTGCAATGTAGCGGCTAAAAACCTACCCTGCATTACCTTCACCAAAGAGGACATGCAAACGAAGAATTCAAACCATGATCGACCCCTATATTTCGTCGGGTACATTGGCTCCAGCAAGGTCAACCGAATCCAAGTCGATCCGGGTTCCGCTGTGAGTATTATGCCGCTTCGCTTGATGCATATCCTCGGAATTCCAGTTAGTAAGTTGGCATCCACAGGCACTGTTATCTATGGATTCAATCCTAGCGGGTCAAGACCCTTGGGTAAGATCCGGATAAAATGTCAAATGGGTGATTTGAAAACGGAAGTCATATGTTATGTGATCGATGCCGAGACTTCATATAACTTACTATTGGGTCGGCCTTGGATCCATAGTAACGGAATATATTATTTTTGGCGATGCAAATTAGTGTCGATAAGCGTCAGTAAAAGTAACACTTTTGCCGACGCTATATTTAGTCGCTAAATGTAACACTTTTGCCGACGACATATTTTGTCACCAAAAGTAATATCTTTTAGCGACGCAATCTTGCGTCGGCAAAAATACACTTTTAGCGACGCGGAATGGAGCGTCGCTAAAAAGCTTATCTTTGGCGACGCATGATTTGCGTCGGCAAAAGTGTAGCTTTTAGCGACGCTCTATTCTGCGTCGCTAAAAGTATACTTTTGCCAACGCAAATCATGCGTCGCCAAAGATTAGATTTTTAGCGACGCTACATTCCGCGTCGCTAAAAGTGTATTTTTGCCGACGCAAGATTGCGTCGCTAAAAAATATTACTTTTGGTGACAAAATATGTCGTCGGCAAAAATGTTACATTTAGCGACTAAATATAGCATCGACAAAAGTGTTACTTTTACTGACGCTTATCGACACTAATTTACATCGCCAAAAATAATACATTCTCTATCAAATACAAGCCTACACTAAATCTGAACATCCACAAAAAAGTTGATCGCATTCACATCAACATAAAAGTCTATTTTTCCATTTCCCCTTGAGTGCTAAAAGCGTTAATTTACAAACTTCCTCTTGCATACCCAAGTACATAAAGTCTCTCAAAAACAGATTACATCAAGAAAACTAGAAACAACAATATCAAATTTGTATCATTAATTACAAAGAACAAATGGATTTGAGGAAGAACATGACCCAGTTTAGATAGTGCATCTGCAACAGTGTTTGCCTCTCGCATGTCACTTGCACATTTCATCTTCATGGTCATTTTTTTAACTTGATGTTGATTTATCCTCATGTTGTACTGTTTCAGTCCTGTTTCCTGCTCATAACACATTAACTTACTATTCTCGTTACATTTCATACCTACCAAAATCTGATAGTTTGATGTTTGATCAAAAATAGGAAGCTGGTCATAGAGAGTCCTGGTCAAAAGAAGAGAGCTTGGTTTAAGGCTGAAGCTAGGACTGTAAAGAGATTCGGGCAACAAAATTTTTACCTGCATGCATCATGCATCCTCAACAAAAGAAGAGAACAAGGCATCACACAAAATCTCAGTGAGATTATTCTCCCTCCCTCCCTTTTGCTTTAACATCCAGAAGCTGCTGTGCTCTATTCACTGCTCAAGTCCTGTCAGCCTTTTTCCTTCTTAGATTACAAATGCATGCTTTTTCAGTTATTCAATATTTCTGTGCTAAAGCAGTTACATGACAGGATACAAGCTTGAAAAATTCAAATTCAAAGCTACATAATGTTAAATATTTTTCGGATCAACGAAGACTAAATCGGTCAATTAATGGATGGAGAGATGGCCCCCCAAAATGTACATATCAGGGTGTCAAAATATTCTGATACCAAGTAGCAGTCAAAAATCCGAATCCTATTCTCCTTTAATATCCCCAAGCTCAAAGTAGTTCAGATTCAAATTTTACTGTAATACATATATTTATATAATCTAATGTATTGTTGTTAGGTTGTTAGGACAGCTTGATGTTGCTAGTTGTTGCTAGCATTAATGATACCTTGTTACATAAAGTGATATGACTCACTCAATAATGAAGCATATGCATTGAGATAAAGTTGGTATATTAGGAGATGCCCCCTGACCAAAATAATACCTTTTCTTCAATTTACTAATGGACAAACTCTATAAAGGTGTATGTATATTAGAATCACATCTCTGTCATACTAAAGTGTTACAGAAACTTTAGGGCTAATCTTGGCCTAATTCAATAGTAGTAGCAAACTTATATGCAACATGTTGAGAAGAAAAAATATTGTAAAAGACTTACAAGAGGGTAGAAGAAAGCAGAAAGAGGGATTGTGACACATCAAAGATATTTGGGAAGAATAACATTCCTTTAAGAAGACTAGTGCTCAAACATTCAATACAGATGGTATCAATAAAAAATAGTAGTAGTAATTCTCTCCATTCTCAAATACGAAAAAAGAGCACAATGATTAAAATAAATGATCTTATCTAATAGATCAAAGAAGCCTAATCCTTTTCTAGCTCTCAATGCATGTAATATGCCTCAGCTTATTCTGCTGAACAACAATCTAAACCTGCAATATGCAATATAAGAAGAAATTAAAGGTACATAAAAATGGAACCTTTTTCAGCAGACTGAAGTCAGCATATATTCACTTGCATAGCTATATAAGCATAGAGGACACTGTAAGCAGTAGAAAATTTTGGCCAAAGAAATCAAACAAATGCTCTCCCAATGGTGGAAGCATGCACCAATAACTAGGAAGTTCTATTGTAGCATGCCTTAGCTATCATGATGTGATCATTTTTATACAATAAGGAAAAATAATTGCCTAATCTGTAATGTCTATATTTGCTAGCTGCAAAATCTGTTACTTGACAGCAAAATGTGTTACAAAAATAAAGAACAATTATGCAGTTTTATACAACTAGGAAGCCAATTGGTTTACAAACATTACTTGCATATTTCCTAATATCTTTTGGAAATCTAGATGCTTCTTGGTCTCAATTGCTTCCTTGGTTGGGGCTGTCTGCAACCTGGTATATTTCTGATCAATGATCAATATATAGATCCAATTGCAAGACTTCAGATAGCTAACCTTTAATGTCTTTCCCCTGAACATAAAGAAATTCTAACTAATTTTTGAAAAGAAAAACATACTTTCAGTGAAAATGTAATTCCAAGGGACAGTTTGTCCTTTCTACAACTCGTGACCCTGGTTAACTGCTCCATGCGACACAGACTGTATGGAGCTCAAACAATTTGTGAACTAAAGTTTCTGGGGCTAGGCAAAATGCCAAGAAGTCATCTACAAGTTTACTATTAAAAAAATTTCTATGGAGATGGTTGCTTGCAATGGACTTAATGTGGCGCTATTTCTACTGTCAACATACAGGATAAGAGGTAAAAGCACTCTTGATGAACTCAAACAAGCTGCAGAAGTCTGCATTCCAATTATACATGGAGTAATGGCTGAGCTCAAGAACAAGACCTTTCCTGAAGGATGTTTTTTAAATATAGATGTGCCAACAGATCCTATTCACCACAAGGTAATCTTGAAAGTTTATCATGAAATATACATGACTTATTATACTTTGGTCAAAATAATACAAAATTTTAGATCATTCCATATAATAACTAATTTCCTTTGGATTGAATATAATTTAATGTGGATCTCGTCACCTCTCACATGACCATTTATGTAACTGCTTTAGTACAAAAGGTGATATATAATATTTGTGAACATTTCAGATGGAAAAAAACACAATTTCACAAACAAATCTTTAATTCCAAAATTTTGTCTACCAACTTGGTTTACTGTTCAACTTGTTAGCGTCTAGGGGTGTTGGCTTAGGGAGTTAAAACATAAGTCTTTGCTTCTATAAAGAATGGGAAAAGCTATAATTTTATAAACTTCTTTTCTTTTTTAAATAACATTAGTCAGGACGGGACTTGCGTTGCATGTGCCTGCTCTATATAGTTACACAAAATTGAAGAAATACACGTAGATATATACATGAAGGAAAATATATAGTAGAAAAGAACAATTTAATAAGCAGAATTACTTCCATAACTTTAAGGGACATGTTCTTCTATGTTTCCTTATCCATGAGAGCGAACATTCGTCCTTTTGTGCGCACGACCAACAATAAGGTACAGAAAGAAAAAGTGAATTACTCAAGCAACACAAAATAACAAGTAAATATGGCTAATGATCATCCTTTCAAACATGATGAGAGGCTGACACTTTGTACTTATCCTTTAGTCAACGTGAAAATTTTGAAAGTAAACAAATCATCAAACCCCATATTTTACATTCATCTCTACTTTATAATAATTTTTATTCATAATTTCATATATGTTCTACCATAATTTTCATAGAAAGTATAGCCGTAAAAGCCTAAAACAGAATTTGAGTTAGAGAACAATGTTATGTTTTTTTACGAAAACAAGATTCTTCATCTGAAGAGCTTACACAATAAAAGAGTAAAAACGTTAAACATGAGGTGGAGCTAAAAAATTCTTGAAGGAACCTTATGCATAAGGAAATCAAGTCAAGGGGAAAATAGGATCCATGACACCAAGTTTTGAGATTAGCCTGATCAAACATTCCAGTTTAACCAAAAGCATAAGCTACATTTGCAGTTCCATGATTCTTTGCTTCATAAACTCCAGAACACAGCTAACTACTTCAGGTATACCTAACCAAACATATTAAAATAACCCTTAAAGGGAATTTAAAGAATATGTTGATTTACAAAAGGATCATCTCTAACAAAACACACAGTATTATTCACCAAGTACTAACAACAACAATTATAGCAGCAAGAGCAATATATGTAAACAAATAAATCACAAAATTTTGATCAGCAGAATGCGAATCAAAAAGCGAACAACATGAAACATGAAGGATGAAAAGTGATATATAAGATATGATCAATCTCCAATGTGAGACGACAGTTTATCGCCGTTGCATGCATCTTCCATCTATATATGCCTTCTCAATTAGTGTTCTAGCAACATAATACTAAGTATTATTAGCGGTTTGTTTCATGAGAGAAATAATGAACTACAATTAGTGTTCTAGCAACATAATACTAAGTATTATTAGCGGTTTGTTTCATGAGAGAAATAATGAACTAATTTTAAATAATTAATTAACTAGTTAAATGAATTCTTATCTAAACTGAGTATCACACCTTTTCTCTGTAAGTTGTGAATTTTTCAATAAATAAATAATTTATAGAAAAGATCAGTCTGTAAGCATAATTTGTGTTCATAAGGGGGGGAAATGTACCTTAAATTCTGCAGCAGAGGCACCATTCATTTTTCTGCGATCTTCTTTTAGATCATTCTCTCGTATCAAGTTTATCTTCCTTAAGTGGATCTTCAAAATACCAAATGAGACTGAACAGGATAGGAATTGGTCATCACTGTTACAGGAGGTCATGGAGCAGCAGTAACATTTAATAAAAACTATGATGTGGTTAGATTAGATAGTTACGCATAAATTCATACATCTTCATAGGGGTTAGGGAACTCAATTTTTCTGTTAATACAACCAGGCTTGAGTTGTGCTTCATCCAGAATATCAATCCTATAAAACATAAGTCACCTTAAACTGCTTTTTGAAATCAAACTAATCAAATTAATCAACTAACAATGATACCCAAAAAAAATTTACGGAGAAATCACAAATACTAAGATACCCAAAAAAAACTTACGGAGAATTCATGTAGATGTTCACAAATACTTACGGAGAAATCACAAATACTAATATACCCAAAAAAAATTAGGGCAAATTCAATACCCAAAAAAAATTAGGGCACGGGAGGGTTTGATTACTGATCTTACGATCCTCCTCGTTGAGCAGGAGGAGGAGAGGAGGGGAGATCCAACGGAGGCGGCGAACTCCGACGATGGCGGCGGTGATCTTCGACGGAGGCGGCGAACTTCAGAGAAGAGGCACGGGCGGGTTTGGGGCCGATTTTCGAATGAGAGAGAGAGAGAACGGGGGGGTTTGGCGGCGGTGAGCTTCGACGGAGGCGGCGAACTTCAGAGAAGAAGCACGGAGGCGGCCGATTTTTTTATGAGAGAGAGAGAGAACGGAGGGGTTTGGCTCTTCGTGAAAATAAAGGGGGGAATTTTCCCTCCCTTTATTTGGTTTCTGGCTTTCGTGAAAATGAACGGGTAAAAATTTCGGCGGGGAGGGGGGTTTGGCGACGCGGAAGAATAAAGTAACGTCGTAAAAGTTATAACTTTTAGCGACGCCAAAGTAGTACGTTGGGAAAAGATGACTTTTAGCGACGTTAACTTAATGCGTCGCGATAAATACAAACTATTAGCGACGCCAATCTTGAAACGTCGCTAAATATATATATTTTTACCGACGAAAATAAAAAAACGTCGGGAAATCCATAACTTTTACCGACGCTAAGTTAAAACGTCGCTAATAATATACACTTTTAGCGACGCTAATTATAAACGTCGGGAAAAATATGTTTTTTGCCGACGCTAATTAAAAGCGTCGGGAAAAACACAATTTTTGGCGACGTATTTAATCATGCGTCGGGAAAAACACAATTTTTGGCGACGTATTTAACCATGCGTCGGGAATAAGCGTCGGGAAAAGTGCAATTTGTTGTAGTGAAGTTAGCGTCCACAGGCACTGTCATCTACGGATTCAACACTAGCGGGTCAAGACCCTTAGGTAAGATCCGAATAAAATGTCAAATGGGAGATTTGAAGACGGAAGTCACATGTTATGTGATAGATGCCGAGACTTCATATAACTTACTATTGGGTCGGCCTTGGATCCATAGTAATGTTATAGTCCCCTCCACTCTCCATCAGTGTCTGAAATATGTCGACACTGATAATAAAGTTAGGACGGTGGTCGCGGATAAGCAACCATTCAAAGGGTACGAGAATTATTTTACTGATTCTCTCCTTTATGGTAACGAATCCGATACTGAATCATCGGCCCATGGAACGGACAGCGGAGAAGAAGCTGATACCGAAGCCGGATTTGATTACAATGAAGGTTTTGTTTTAAACGACATTGTACCTTTTGTAATCAACCTTGACGATGAACAATCGTCAGATGGCAGTTGTAACTGGCAACTTGCCAATAATAAAATAAATGACGATTTAGAGTACTCACTGTCTCTTGATGATGTGATGAAAAATTGTATGATAATCCCGATTTATATGCGCCGCTCTGATCGTCCTACATAACAAAGGAACGCCTCCAGCATTCTTTCGGAACAACCCTGGTCATCCCGAACAAAATAGGAGGTGCAAAAGAAGTGATTTACGGTAAAGGAAAAAGCTCTCCATTACCAGATCATTTCTTAAGAGAAGATGAGGATGATGACAAACTTGGTCGGCATTTATCAAAATACAGTCCGGAAGCCCACAAGCTTATGGAAAAACAGGGATATGATTTCACACTCGGAGAAGGTTTATACTTCGATCGAGGTCCTCGAAACAGGGATATGATTTCACACTCGGAGAAGGTTTATACTTCGATCGAGGTCCTCGTATTCCAGCAAAAATAGCATATGTACCAAAAGAGAAACCGGATGATTATTATAAATTCAGACGAGGGTTAGGGTATGAATCTTCTTCAGAAGACGAATATTGCTGGTTAATCAATAACCAATTATCTGGGCAATACAAAGATGGATATCCGTCAGATTCCCCGGAATAGGATTCCGATACAAGTCTAGGGGAAGCATTCAAATCCTGTGACGATAGAAGACGACGATCAAATGCCAACGTGGGAAGACCCGTGGGTTCATCACCTGAACATGCAGTATGGTGATAGGTTCGAACAGAGGGAGCCCCCCACTGAAGATAAAATAGTTCAAATCAACATGGGTGACGAGGCCAACCCAAAACCTATATTCATCAGCGATAGTCTCCCCTCAGACGAGAAGGAGAAATTAATTGCTCTCATCAGGGAATACATTGACGTCTTCGCTTGGAATTACGAAGATATGCCAGGGATCGACCCTAATGTAGCAATGCACCGCCTCGACATCAAGTCGGATACCAAACCTGTCAAGCAACAACAAAGATGGTTTCGTCTGCAGATTATGGAAGCCATTGAGGCAGAAGTTAAGAAATTGATCGAATCAGGATTTATCCGAGAGGAACAACATCCAGAATGGCTAGCCAATATTGTTCCAGTCATGAAAAAGAACGGTAAAATCAGGATTTGCATCGACTTCAGGGACCTGAATACGGCATGTCCAAAAGACGACTTTCCTCTCCCAATCACGGATGTTATTATCGACAATACATGCGGATTCGAGAGAATGTCCTTTATGGATGGCTTCTCAGGATATAACCAAATCAAGATGCACCCAGATGACGAGAAGCATACAGCATTCAGAACGCCTCTCGGTGTCTTTTGCTACACGGTGATGCCTTTCGGTCTAAAGAACGCAGGCGCCACGTACCAACGAGCGATGACTAAGATTTTCCAAGAACATCTCAGGAAAACAGTCGAATGCTACGTCGATGACTTGGTTTTAAAAAGCTGCAACAAAGAAGATCACATCAAGGACTTGAAGACGATGTTCGATCTCATGCGGAGTCATCAATTGAAGATGAACCCCACTAAATCCTTCCTTGGAATGTCTAGCGAAAAATTCCTTGGATTCGTCGTCACTACTAAAGGTATACATATCGATCCTGACAAAGTAAAGGCGATACATGAACTGCAACCCCCTAGAAATCTAAGAGAGCTCAGAGGGTTGCAAAGGCGTTTAGCTTATATCTGGCGGTTCATCTCGAATCTTTCTGGGAAGTGTCAACCATTCTCTAAGCTAAACAAGAAAGGGGTGTCATTTATTTGGGACGACGCCTGCCAAAAAGTGTCATTTATTTGGGACGACGCCTGCCAAAAAGCATTCGAAGATATCAAAACCTATCTGACAAATCCTCCTGTTCTCGTTGCACCAAAATCAGGTAAACCGTTCTTGATTTACCTCAAGGCGATGAAACACTCGATAAGTGCTTTACTAGCGCAAGATGATGATAATGGTCATGAACAGACAGTCTATTACCTAAGTCGGACCTTGATAGGCGCCGAGTCTCGATATCCTATGATTGAGAAAGAATGCCTCGCATTAGTATTCGCAATGCAAAAGATGCGGCATTACTTGGTAGGACAGACGGTTTACGTCATTTCCAATGTTAATCCAGTACGGGTGTTTATGACGCAACCGGCCTCTATGAATTGGCGGTTAGCGAAGTGGGCCCTTCTCTTGTCCTAGTACGATTTGCACTTCAAACAGCAGAAGTCGATCAAAGGACAGGCGATTTGTGATCTTTTGGCGGCAAACCCGACAACGGATACGGCAGAAGTTTATGATGACTTGCCGGATAAAACCCATGAGGTTAACACTACATCACACCAACAAGTATGGAAATTATACTTAGATGGTGCTTCGAGGGCAATTAATAGGGTAATAAACCCCGGATCTCCTAAAGTCTCTTCCGGAGTTGGAGTTGTCTTAATTTCCCCCGGGAAGCATGTGATGCCTCGGGCTTATTGGTTGACTAGTCCTTGTTCCAACAACGTAGCTGAGTACAACGCGCTTCTCATTGGACTCAGTTTCGCCAAAGAACTAGGGGTCGAATATCTCGAAGCTTTTGGGGACTCTCAATTGATAGTCAACCAAGTCCGTGGAGAATATGAAGTCAGGAACCAAGACCTAATCCCGTACCACCAGGAGGCCATCAAAATGGCAGAATCTTTTGAAGAATTCTATATTGAATACATCCCCCATCTCCAGAATGCTTATGCGGATGCACTGGCAGCACTAGCGGTATCACTTGCATAGCCTCCCGAAACGGAACTATTAGTCACAGTAAGGACGCATCACCTCTGCATACCCATATACGATATGGATATTGAAGAGGAAGATGATAGAAACATAAACGCCAAAGAGGTGAATTCAACTCGAATTAGGTACGAGTCTCGAGATTAGCATTTTCCTATCATTGATTACGTCCAATATGGTATTTTGCCAGAGGATGTAAAAGAAAGGGAATTAATTCCCCAAAGAGCACTAAGATTCTTCTACAATACCGAGACCCATACATTATACCGTCGAGGGTACGATGGTTTGTTACTTTGCTGCCTTTCGAACAAAGAAGTAGAAGAAGTTCTTAAGGAAGTACATGAAGGAGAATGTGGTGCGCATCAGCCCGGTCCCAAACTGTATGATCGCATCAGGAGAATGGGATATTTCGGGCCAATGATGGTTCGTGATGCAATCGAGTACGCCCGAGAATGTCATGCCTGTCAAGTACATGCAGATTATATGCACCAACCACCGGAGCGTTTACACACGTCAACCACATCCTGGCCGTTCGAGACATGGGGCATGGACATTGTTGGTCTTATTTTTCCCCCTTCAGTCAAAGGTGATCGAATCATCCCCGCAATCACGGATTACTTTTCAAAGTGGGCTGAAGCGATTCCGCTTAGAGAAGTGAAGACGAACAACGTCATCAATTTCATCAAGCATCATGTCATATACCGACACGGTGTGCCAAGACGGATCATTCATGACTGTCATATACCGACACGGTGTGCCAAGACGGATCATTCATGACAATGGTCCACAGTTCATAAGCAACGCTTTCGTCAGGTTTTGTGATAAATTCAAAATTCAAGATGTTTCGTCAACAGCTTATTATCCTGATGCGAATGGATTAGCTGAGGCGTTTAACAAGACGATCATTAAGATCCTGTCAGAGCTCGTGAAGACTAATAAGCGAGACTGGGATGATAAACTCGATAAAGCACTCTGGGCTTATCGTACCACCATACGCACACCTATAGGAGCTACCCCATATTCGTTGGTATACGGATGTGAGGCTGTGCTGCCATTAGAAATCCAAATTCCATCCCTTCGGATCGCTCTCGCAACTGAGATGACGACAGAAGAGCAACATCAGAAACGTCTCGAAGAACTTGAAATGTTGGATGAAAAGCGCTTGGAAGCTCAACAACAAATCGAGTTTTATCAAGCCCGAATATCTAGGGCCTTTAACAAAAGAGTCCGACAGAGAAGCTTCAAGGAAGGAGATCTGGTCCTCGCTGCTCGCCGACCGATAATCCTCAACTCCAAGAAGAAAGGTAAATTTGAACCCAAGTGGG